TGTGTGTGTGTGTGTGTGTGTGTAAACCTCTTGGAACTTTTGAACGACTTGACCGATTTCATCGCGGTTGGTGTCATTCGAAAGGGCTTCACTAAACTTAGATTTCCTGAAAATTTGAACTGATTCGGACCGGTAGATTTCGAGAAAATGCAAAAAAAGTGAAAAAAAAGTGAGAAAAAAAGTTGTTTTTTTGGAGTTTACTCCTTAAGAATCGATTTACATATATAGGCCCGGGGTATGAAAATTATGGGGACCAAAATCGTACTAGAGAGTATAGCATGTCACACGAAATGCGTTATGCGCTATAGTCTGACCATTCCCCACCACACGGTATGCTCGGCTCCATGTACTTGTATATGTTTAGTATATATCTGTGTGTGTATAATAGCATACACATTATACATGTACAGTGTAGCGCCTGCATAACTATATCAATACATTTCTAAACATTTATTTATTCGATATTAACCTACAAACACTTTGAACTTGCGGAGATATTGTTTTAAATTTTATAATTTATTTATAATCGATATAAATATAAATTTGTGTCAGTTGAATACAGTAAAATATGGAAGTTACGTATTCTAGTGAGAATGATCCGGGAGTTGCGGAACACGTGGATGCGGTAATTAAGTAAGTCTATATAATTCACTTTTACAATTAATATATAAGTTGTCCATTCACTGATAGAAGGAATTGTTTATATTTAATAAGCTTTATTAATAAATAATTTTTTCATTTATACCCGTATTCCCTTATCTATTTATTTATTTTATAATCGTTCTTGAGGAGTAAACTCCAGTCGTGCGTCGGAGCGGACACACACACTTTTTTTTTTTTCTTTTTGACTGCAGGAGCTCATTTCAAAACTTCCCAGAAAGAATTTTCTAATATGATTACATACGCCTGTATTAGAACTTATGAGGTCATAGATACCTATATATAATTTACTAACAGCCCCCCCCCCCTGGCTTCGCACGGGTATTTAACAAAAATTTGAAAATATTATACAGCCTATGTTACCCGGGGATAGTGTAGCTTCCAAACAGCGAAATAATTTTTCAAATCGGTTCAGTAGTTTTCGTAGTATAACCGAACAAAAAAAACCGACTCTATTTATAAGTATAGATAGATTATCCTACCAGTATCGTCAGTGTTAACAATTACAGTGAAATGTACTCGTAGTTAGGTATGCTGAAAATCTTATATCATTTTTTTTAATGTGAATTCCAGCTTTTTTTATAAACGACTACAAAACATTACAGTTATTGAATAGCGAAGAATATTCAATGGTTTCACTATGAAAAAATACGATAATTTTATAAGACAAATTGCTGAATAAGTGTTGATATTGTAAGAAAAGAATATATTTCAGCACGCTTAAATTTTGAATAATCTCAGAAGATAAATTTTACATTTACGATTTTACATTCCACTTATATTTATTGATTCATTTATAATTGGCTACATTCAATGTTTTTTAAATTATAAATATAATATTTTTTATAAAAATTTTCCGTGTGTAAATCATAATTTAACTAAAATAGTTTTCAAGACAACAAACCACTCTACCAAAATATACAAAATATTATTATTTGTTTTGTTGGGTGAAATTTTTTTTACATATTAAATTTACTCTTAAACTAATGAACTAATAACAAAATTTATGTGAACAATATTCAATGTAATATTTAAAATTGACTTGTATTCAATAATTCTTTGTAAACGCAGGACTTACGCATTTCGCAAGAAAAAGTCTTTTATATTAAATTAACTCTGATTAAGACGCCTTCTGTCATGATAACATTGTTTAAAAGATTTGATCACCCAAAATGTCAACATTCCGACTGGCACAAGTACCAACAAGCTCCACCACGAAAGCATGATGATTTATTGTATTTGAATTGAAAAAATTATAAATAAATTATTTGAATATAAATATGAGATTCAATTTACTCGTTATACTGATGGATTGATGATGAAAACCGACGATAGATGATTTTGAACACAGAATTTGGTCGCAGTCACTTGGATTACAAAATTGACTTCTCGTGAATAAGCAGGCAATTTTTCTTGTTCTTGTACCAGACCCACTCGCCAAGTCTCGCCACAACAATTTGAACTTTGAATGAAATTTTATCCTGAAACAATTATTTTATTTATTCATACACTGATTAAAAAAAATTAAGTTTATTTAAAAAATAAAATTTTGAATCACGATCATAATTTAGAAAAATTTGATTATTCTGAATCAAGCTGGAAAATTCTCAAAATAAAAATACACTTAAATCAAAAACGATTTTTCAGTTGACGAATTTTTTTGCTTGATTCAAGATAATAAAATTTTTCATAATAATGTTCTTGATTCAAAATTTCTGTTTTTAGTCAAATGACTCACGTTTGATTTTAAATAATAATCACTTCATCTATCTACACTGGCAGTTTGAATTTACAAAAAATTAACATTGAATAGAAACTTGTTTAAAATAATTATTCGAGAATCTAGCAGCTGCTTAGACAATCAATTATATCAGGTGTATTTCGCACAATCAAAAATTGTTCATTAGGAAAAATTGACCACGAGTTGTACAAGTTGCTGTCTATCTGAATAATGATCAAAATTACCTTATCGTTAGTCTATACTGGCTCAAAAATGATGAAACTATATTTGATTATAAACTATACTCACAACCAAAAAGAAAATTCTCTTACAAACACATTGCACTTTACATCATTGATAGTGATATTAATAGCATTGAATAGAATATAAAAATATAAACAAAGACTAGCACAATATACTTTAGTTGTAAGCAGTGTAAAATCCGGAAGTTACTTATAATTATAATAATAATAATAAGTTGCTTCCGTTCTCAGGGGATTTCTCTCGTTTATTAACATCTTTATATTTTCGAACAGATACTAACAGCTTCCAGCTTACTAGTGTTCTTGTTTGATGGAGTCCATCGACCTAATACCCAGGGACAATCCCGTCTTGATCCTTAGCGAAGATGGAATGCTCCATCCTGACTTGAATTAGTTTAAACTAGTTAAAAACTGACCGCATTGGCGCTAAACAAACTCAATTAATTATTTAAATCACGGTCGCGAAAAAAAAAAAAGAACTTGTATAATAATAACAATAGATGATCCACAGATTTTCTAGCTAGCCTTCAAAAGTAATTCACCGAAACACAAATAGGAATGTTAATCATTCTCGAAATATTTTCATAACTAAAGTGTAAATAGAGACAAGTACAATGTACTTTAGTTGTTATTATCGCAAAATCCGAAAGCTACTTATGATTACAATAAGAATAGATGATTCATAGATTTATTAGCAAGCCTTCAAAATTAATAATTCGAAATTCAAATAGAGATGGTAAATTTTCTTTAAGTGTTCCTTTTACTAAACACTGAAAGAAGAAATTTTTAATTCTTGTTAACTTTTTATAAACAAGATAAGAACAATAATAATTTTTAGGCCCGCAGTAATCTATCGGATCCATCTTTTGCTTACCAAAGCATGGGACCGGGTTCGATCCCGGTGTACACCAATGAATATTTTCAATATTTAAGTGTATTATGCTGCTCAGCTCAAAAAAATAAAACGAGTCCAACCATAAAAGTTTACTCCCTACCGAAGTCGCTCGTAACCTTGGTAGTTTATGAGACTTTAAACAAATAAAAAAAAAAAGTAATAATAATTTTGAACAGAAAAAAATTTTTACTCTTACTATTTATTTATTTTTTTTATATTAAATCTAGTAATCTACCCTACAAAATAAAAAAAAATAACTCGATTTAAGAAGAAAAATTCTTGAGCTTACCCGGGTCAAAAAATTTAATCTGTTTTACGATTAATGAAAATTTTTAATATTTTTCATTCTATTTAATTTTATTATGTATATCTATTTTATATTAGAATTTAATCTGTTTTTGCCCGTACTATTCCCAATTCAGACCAATTTCAGATCATTTTTAATGTTGTAAAATAAAATTGTGTTGTGTAATAAATTGTTGTTGTGTAATAAAATTGTTTTATATTGTTTCAAGACCAAAATCAGACTTTTTTGTCACAATCATTTAGCTGGTTTTGATCCCATCAAGGTCAAAAACAGACCAAAACGTTCCATAATTTTTAGTCGGTTTTTCATCGCCTGTAGATCAAAAACCGACCATTTGCGAATTTAATAATAATAATAATAATAATAATATATTTATATTTATATATTATTATTTTATTCATGTCCTCGAAGATCCTCTACAGGGCACGGCTTTTCATTCTCTGAAACTGAAATAGTGAACATTCACTATTTCGTAGTGCAATGTATACCAAAACGGTACTCCGCACTACCAAATAGTGGATACCGCTCATTGAATGATGCGTGAAAGTATAAAATTTAACATTAATCTTGTCAACATTTTAATCTTGTCTCGATGTATTCACACTGTGTTTATTAACGATAATTAGAAAACTCTAGATTAAGATCCATAATTAAACGATGAGAACTATTTTATAAACGTATATTAATACAAATTTATTAGTTATCACTGCAACTAATATATTCGCAGTTACAAAACTTTCATAATCCATGAAATGTTGAGCTATGACAAATAAATATAACAGATGTAAGATTATAATCGACGTTCAGTTTATAAAACAAAAGAGCGCATGAATATATTATAAATTAATTCATTTTTTTAAATAAATGCGACTTATAATTTATAATGAGATACTTTTAAGTCCAAAAAAATTATAAGTCACCATCTTAGGCGACTTTTGGCCTTCGAACATTTAGAATGAAAATTGTAGATCAAAAACAGTATAAAATTTAGTTTAGTTTAGTTTAGTTTAGTTTATTTAAAAATTATGCCAAGGCAATTGCCAAATGGCAAAGAGTACATATACATACAGTTTTTACATTATTGTGCAGTTTAACTTATAAATATTTAGAATGTTTTATAAAATAATATTTTTAGATAAATGATAGTGACATATAATACTATATAAGTAGACCCGGGTTAGAAATTTTTCTAAATTCAAGTGAGTTTCACTCGATTTCAGAATTTGTCTCCTGACTGAACTTTATTTGTAGTCAGATTTAGACACATGAAAGACTACATAATTTTTTTTGTTAGTTATATAAAACGACACCGAATAAGATAATTTTTTTTTTTCAGTAATTTTTTTCTTAATTACCGAAATTTAATTTTCTTTTTTTAAATATCAGATGTGTTTTTGCTCTTTATTCATACAATATTATTCAACAATTGCCATATGAATCTGAGCCAGACGTTAGTCACCATCCACCATTTTTTATAAGATACTTTGTATAGTTATTAAGTAATTATAATATCCTGTCATTTGAAAAAAAAATTAAAATTTTCAATTTTTAAAAAATTACTCGTGGAGATTTTTTCATCTTCTTAATACAGACAATAAAAGTTATAAAAATTGCTTGACCTTAACAAGTTGAAAGTAGGGTGCCAAATTACATTTATCTCGCTGATAAACGAGAAAACTAAATCATATAATTTATAGAATATAAATAAACTTTTATATATTTTCTTTTGTTTTTAAGCCACTAGAGGTTCGAGAAATAAGTCGAGATCATTGTTACAAAGCATATCAGCTGGGTGTCTGGAGTCCCATCAGCACTAAAAAGCTAGAGGGTATCGTAAAACTCGCCTGTGCACTCGAAAGCGGGAGATACGTCGCCAGGGATATCGGTAAGTCTTGAAGTGGTGAAAAAATGGGAGTAAAAAGACAAATAAATAAAACAAGTTCAACCCAAAAAAAGTACTTCATTGAAGAAAAGAGAGCATCATTCCTCTTTTCTTCGTCATCTCTTTCTTTTGATTTCTCAGCACACGTTCTCTTGCCCATGTCGAGCTACTGAAGGTGTTTGCGCGATAAACTTTTCGAGTAGCGGCACTCCTGAATGGCCCAGAAGTGGGAGTCAGGATAAGACACAAAATTACGGGGTGTGAGGGGCCATGAGCCTGGAATTTCGGTGGGATGGGAAAAAAATGGGAAACTAAACGATGGAGTTACTCGAATACTCTCGAGGGTAGAACTGCCCTTCGTCGAGAAATCCTTCCTTTGGTAACGATAAAACGAGTCCAACACTAACAAAAAGTACGTATAGCTTTTCGTCTAATTGAGAATCGAGTTGGCAAACTTATAAAACCTCTTTTTTATTTCATTTTTTCTTCATCACAACTCGTCACGAGATTTTTTCCTTTCGCCATTTCATCGACTTTGACAAAATCTAGAAAAAACAGCTCACTCGCATCATTGGTGATGTTTGATACAGACGCTATGTAATTTTGGACTTAGTTATTTGTTATATTGAACCCCAATACATTACTTGAACTATTTTTAGTTAAATATGGGCTTAATAGTCATCTTGATTCACTTTAACTCAGAAAACAAAAAATATAATTTGGATAGCCTGGACCGAGAATCGAACCCGTATATCTTTTGGTTACGCTTCAAGGGCTCTTCCAGTTAAGCTATCGGAGACATCGTCCGTAACAACTTTTCAATCACCAAATAATTTGTTTGTTTAAGACGATAATAGAAAAATATTTATTAAAATATAGTCCATATAACTATTTACTTCAATTAATGCATAATTTGAGTAACTACACGGAGAGAATTTAATGATGAATACAACTATCCGAGTATTGTAAAAACAGCTACTTAGTATGAATGATTGCAAAAACTATCCAAATTGTTAACTGAACCATCCAGATAGTTACATTTACCATCTGGATAATAATTATTACCATCTGGCTGGTAACTTAAAGATGGTAAACTTAATCATAATATATGTTAACCGCTAAAATCATGTTGATTGTAAATTCTACAATCATGATGGTAATTATTACCATCGCAGCTAGTAATATAATTAGTCAATACGTGACTACTGTATATTATATATATTTATAATATATATTATATATAAATATATAAAATATATGAAAAATTGATGTGGGTACTCAAATGAAAGGTCTCGATGAGCGTAATGTCTGGGTGAATTTATATCTTTAAAAATGTCAATAGTTTACAAGATACAAAGTCATTTCTTAATTATTGATATTTTTAAAGATGTAAGCTCATCTTGATGTCACACTCATTACGAGCTTTCATTTGAGTACCCACATGCATTTTTGATATATTTTTGATATATTATATATATAAATATATGAAATATATGAAAAATTGGTGTGGGTACTCAAATGAAAGGTCTCGATGAGTGTAATGTCGGAGTGAGCTTATATCTTTAAAAATCTTAATAGTTGACAAGATAGCAGTGTCAGTTCTTAATTATCGACATTTTTCAATATATAAGCTCATCCTGATGTCACACTCGCCAAGAACTTTCATTTGAGTACCCACATAGATTTTGATATATTTTTCATATATACATATATATAAATATATAAAATATATGAAAAATTGATGTGGGTACTCAAATCAAAGGTCTCGATGAGTGTAATTTTGGGATGAGCTTATATCTTTAAAAATGTCAACAGTTAACGAGATATTTCTTAAAGGTCATTTCTTAATTATATATCTAGAAATGGAGCATTTTCGAATGCAGCCTAAATACTCATCATGATAAAATGACTATCGATGAGAATGATATGAAACCTTGAAAAGGCGGAAATCAAGTCGACCTTTGCAATGACACTAAGATTCACAAAAAAAAAAAAACCGATTTTATCATATGACTATCCTGGAGACAAAATTTTTGTTATTCTTTTAATAATATAGATATACTTTTTTCAATACTCACTCTTATGTCAAACATTAGAATGTTATTATATTCTGACGCTAAAATCGAAAAAGTTTAGTTTTTTATACTTCCTTTTTTTTTTTTTTATGATTGCAATCATGATGATTTTGACTATCTCCGATGATAAAAGTTACCATCTAGATGATAAACCGTATCATCATAATTGTGAGAATTAATATATACTGATTGTACTAATTACAATCGCCGGATAGTTGCATTTATCATCTTAACTTTGTAAAAGTTAATAACCATCCTGGATAGTAGAAGCTACAAAATAGGGATGGTTACCGTTAATATAAAATTCTCTCCGTGTACAAAAGAAAGTTCAGAAAATCAACAATTTCATACTTATGACGTCATAATTCAGCTAACTATGTACTTTTCTTTAAGTACACTGGCTTTTTTTCACAGTGTATACTTACTCAGTGTGTTGATGCTCTGACACCATAGTGTAGTTTCCCAACAGTGAAAGAATTTTTTAGAACGGTTCAGTAGTTTCGGAGCCTATTCAATGCAAACAAACAAACAAATAACAAACAATCAAATCTTTCCTTTTTATAATAGTAGTATAGATAATGATCGTTGCAAGCAAAAATCTTATCATCTGAACACTTCAAATTGTTGTGATCATCGCAATCAGTGTTAAATTCACAAGATTTTCCTACCGAAGCTATTGAAAAAAATGTATATGATTAAAGATTCAGTTCTAGCTCTACAAGTATCAAAGAAGCTATGAGAAAAAAAAAAGACTGACTTTAAAATACGTGTCTTCATGGATTGCTGAATAGCAAGACTTGCATTTATATGTGGCATCAATATAGATTGAGTTTTTAACAATGCATCGATCATTTTTTGAACACAATCTTTGTAGAATTGGCCGACACGCAGTTTCGTGAGCGCGGCGCCGCATTTTTCATATTTCACTGTTTTTTTTTAACAAAATTTTAAAGAAAAGTTTTAGATTCGATTGAACCTTACATTCAAACGACTATTCAATGGAGTCATCCTACGTAAATGTCTCACATCTAGAGATAGCCCGACGCGTAACAATAGGTGACTAACACTTTATCACTTGACAAAAATAGTTTATAAAAAACACCTTATATTAGACCGCAACTCGCAAATTTATTTTCAGTGCTACAAAAATGAAGGTAGTGATCGACTTTACTGGATATTACATAAAGAACAAATTTATGATAAAAGAGTTCTGTCGGAGCGATGTGCTATTACGAAAAGTAAGAACTGAAAAAATAATCATAACAAAGCACCCGACGTCATCTGAATGCCCATCGAAAAGGGAGTACGATAACTATTACAACAAATACGGAATAAAAAAATTTATCGGACACGCGTCACTTGAGTCACTTAGGGAGTACATATCGAGTATATTCAAGCAGAAATTGATCCAGAACTCCATCTACGTGCGAAACCCCCAAAAAATCCAACTATTGAACGAATTTATGGGCCATAAGTTCGGCGGCAGTGTCAAGTGTCTGACCGATTTCGGGTTCAATACCGAGGAAATTGTAACAACGACCTGCAAATACCACGATCGAATGTACAGTTACTGTGCGCAAAACAACGCATTAGTTATGGCCAATTGGCTGATGGAGAAAAATTCATCCGCGGTCCAGACGTCCAAATATATCGATCACCTCGTCCTAGATTTTGCGGGCCACATTAACAAATCTCAACAATTCGTCATCAAAGAATTGAGTCTATACGGCTTGAGCGGTACTGGCGACGTTGTTTATCAGAAATCCTACGTGTTCAAATCTTACGGACACTACGATAAACTACAACCCGAAGAGAAGAGAAATTTTGACGATTTTTACAACACTCATGGAATTCAATGGCTAAGTGGCACCCAAATATTGGGAAGGTTTAAATCGAATTTCAATAAATTGCTGATCAATTCTGGGGTGAAATTTATCTATGTTAGGGATTCGGGGAAAAAAAATATTTTGACAACGATCATTGGTGACGCGATAAATGTGATATGTTTAGATCGGTTTAATTATCAGGAGGTCATCGATAAACCGAGCAATTGTGGGCAACACTCGCATGAAGATAGTGGTAGGAATAAATGCGTTGATGATAGTGCTCAAAGCATGCTTGAGTGGGTGCTCAAAAATGAATTCTATAAACACCAAGGGAGAAAATTTGATGAATTTAATAATCCGATTGCCTCAAAACGGCAATTTTCACAGGAAAGTGATAATTATTGTTGGGATAGTGGTTCTGAACAATCACCAGATTCATTTAAATTAGAGAATATTCAGAATTTTGGTTTTGCACCGGAAAGATTAAAGGCTTTTTGATTGATTGAATTTTTTTTAATCTATCAATTCTTCATATTTTGCTTATGTTGCATGAGTTATTGATATTGAATCGAACACATTTGGCATTTTCTAAAAATTTGAGAAAAAATTTCATGACTTAAAAGGAAAAATTAATTTTTTTATCTTAAAATTTAAAAAATTATCTTTTCAAAAAAGAAGCAAATGGAAAAAATGAGTAATTATGTGGTAACTAAGAAGTGCAAGTGAAAAATACACTTAGAAAGGGAGGCAGAACAGGTAGTTCCGAAATTACCGACAGATGCCGCTCCGTTCCGCTTTTTGTCCCTCCTAGAAGTTTTAATTTGAGATCTCAGTAATATTTTTAAATTAAACATAGAATAAAAATGTACTTCTTTTCTGTTGTCATATCTTTGACAGGAATTTTAAAACATACATCATCTGTAGCGTTAAAAGTAAATTTATTTTTTCTGTATATCTAGTGGTTATTTGTTTTTTTATTATTTTTGACACTGATGCTTCGCCTTATAATAAAATAATAAAAGACATAAAACTCTGCTATGGTTTGTTGGCGCCATAATTGTAAGGTGAGGAAAAAAAATACTATAATGAAATGTGTATATAGATATACAAATACACAGTCGTATCTTAGTTTTTTATAAATAATAATTAAACGACAGTGAATTGAACACTCATATTAATTGAGAAAGTTTGCAGTGTTATTCGGCTGCCCAATTTTAAAACACAGTAACTGCAAAATTTTTATACCAAATTTTTTTTTAGTATTGCTGCATTTTTTATAACTTTTAAACCTTAGTTTCAAGTATTTTTTTTTTAAATATTTATATTTGAGTATTTTCTATTCATAAATTAAATTTGTCATTAATTTGGCGGGCAAACTTTTTTTTAATAAGAAAAATTGAAAAAAATTTTTAAATGTTAGTTACTGTGTTTTGAAATTGGGCAGCCGTATTATTTACTGTGTTAAAGAAAATAATTGTTATTGAAATATATTTTACTAGCTGTTACTCGCCCGCTCCGCTGGGCGCTTTATAGAATTGCACTTTTAGATCTAGACTTGAAATTTAATTAGAGTATTGTTTTGACTTGCACAGATTCCCATTTCTATCGAATTGGTATGCTCCTTCTATCCATATAATTATTCTAGCTGATATTCATTGTAACTTTCAATGTGCAATCATTAAAACATTGCCGTCTCGCTTTTCTTGTAAAAATTAATAATAATTGATATGAAAAAAAAAATTTGTAATGAGCATTGAAAGTTTCAGTTAAAAAAATTGCAGATCTCATGAGTGAAGAAATCTGTCTAGTATATAAACACAACCAATAGAATTAAAAAATTTATTTTAAACAATTGACAATCGAATAGAATAAATTTAGTTACAATAAAAATTCATTATTTCTGTCAACAAAATATAGGTTCCAGATAAGTAATCACCACTATATCATATACAGTATATGATATACTAAAACCTTCTCCGAAACACGCTGCATCTTATGGTATAAGTGTTATTCCGATCGGTTCAGTAGTTTTCGAAGTATAACCGGACAAAAAACCGGCTTTCCATTTATTAGTATAGATGTGTCTGACAGATTGATTAACTTGATATAAATGTACTAATGTTATCCTGTAGATGCGATAGAATTAAAAAAAAATCAATTTCAGTTTCGAGAAAACTGATTTTTGTGAGATGTCGAGAGTAGAGCACTACCTCAAAGCTTCGCTTATGAGGCGTGCAATTACTTCTTTGATATTATTACCCTTCTGTTTTATTTCAAAAAAGGAGGAGCTGATCCAGAACGAATGACACCCCAGCGTGTAGAGGAATACATAACCGACCTATTCTCCGGAACTGGCGTTCTCATCCAAGTAATAAGCGACGAAGAAACACTGCTCCACGAATATCCACTTTTTGCAGCAGTTAATCGCGCTGCCTCAATAATACCACGACACCGCGGCAGAATAATATATCTCACCTACGAACCACAAGACCCCAACGGAATCACAGAGACGCTCTTGTTTGTCGGTAAGGGGGTAACTTACGATACCGGTGGCACTGGAATGAAGGAGTCGAGTGCTTTATCCGGAGGATCACGACACAAATGCGGTATTGCTGCTTGCGTGGGATTTATGCAGGTAGTCTTTTTGCTCCTCAATGATTAATTATTCTATTTCGCTTATTACTTGTTCTGTAATCAATTCAATTAATCAAATTGAAGGTAGTGAATCTTCTGCAGCCCCCGACAACAAAAGTTGTAGCTGCCTTGTGTGTTATCCGCAACAGCACCGGAGAAAACGGGTACGTAGCTGATGAAGTGATTACTGCTAAATCCGGGTGGAGAGTCCGCATCACCGACACTGACGTTGAGGGTAGATTGTCTATCGCAGATGCTCTTTTTCATATCAGGAAAATAGCGGTACACTCGGTTAATCCCCATATTTTCACAGTTGCTTCAGTAACGACTTACGCCAAGCTGGCTCCTGGATATGGATATACGGTAACTACTTTTTTTAAAATTTATTTATACTTATATATAAATCTGCAGGGTTTTTAATCATTGTTTTGTTATAACTAAACAACTATATGGGGCATTTCACCCGAAATCTTACAGTTTAGAAAATTTTTTTCTTGATTTTCGTAATTTTTTAATATTTTTTAGTATCCATTAAAAAACTCCTCCAGATAAAATTTTGAGATTTTTTTAATCACTGGTTTCAAAGATATCGAACTTTGAAAAAAACCCCCTTTTTAATTTCCCGCTAAAAATCTCAGATTTTCAAAAATCGGGAAGTTATTGTTTTTACCCCGTTTTGCAAAAATCGAGTTTTCATCAGATCTCGACGTTTGAAGGCCACAGGAAGCTTATCCCTGACTATACCCGCGAGGATGTCACTATGTATGTATGTATGTATGTGTGTGTGTGTGTGTG